CTTTTGAAAAGCAAGTATCACGCGCGCATTATGGAGGAGGTGCTTGGTTCGTTCGTGACAGTTGGGCAAACGCCAGCACCACCGCAGGAAGGACGGAAGACAACTTTACCCTACCCAACTCTACTGATACAAGGCGTCTCACAGAGAGTGCACTCGCTCCACCGCAACCGTTCTTCTCCCATTTCCTTCTTCATCCTTTACAGTCGGGTTTTGGTGACTGCTGGCATTGGTCTTACCTACTCTCATCTAATCCTGACCCCAGAACACTTGAGGGTACAAGCAACCTGCTTTGTCACAATTAATTGTACGGTCCGTAGCAACTGCCAACATCAGAAATGGTTTGAAACGGCTGAGACGCAGATGTCGAAGTGGAACCAAGACGCCAGAGCTGAATGAGCAGAAAAGACCGGAGCAGCACCAAAAGAGGTGGAATAGGAGTGTCGGTGGACAAATCTGAATGATCCGAAAAGTTACGTTTGGCGTATTTGTCTGGGTGTATAGTGCAAAGTGGAGTCAACGGCGTATCGGTAAACGAAAATGTGATGTGGTGTAGTACAGTCTTTGTGGAGCGAGTGTTGATGTAGTTTTCGCACCATTTACTTGTTGTTCTACGACGTAACGAAGAGAGTCCATTTAAACGTGTATGTATAAAAAATGAAATAAAGTGTAAGCTAAAAAAAAAAATACCCGCTTAAAAATTTCTCAGCAGTAAACGTCAGAATAGAATGAAACACTAACATTTCTTACTTTAAGTTAATTAAGAGTTCATGAAAGCTATTATAGACGTGGTAAGTTGCCGTACCTGGTTAAAAAAGGAATACCAGTGAAGAAATTTTCCCTTCCCTTCTTTCGGTCTTAACGAAAACAGCATTTAAAAATAATACAAAAACACCCTTCTTAATTTTAACATGCTAGAAAAGTCACCAACTGAATATTAAGAACTACACAGAAGAACTACAGAACCGATAATTCTTTAGTAAAGCATGTATAAATATAATTAAGGATATATATATATATATATATATATATATATATA